ATCTTTATATCTACATTTTGTTTAAGTTTTAAAATTATATTAAAAAGTCATCCAGCTAATGTCGAGTCATGTCCTATGACAACATCCAACATGGATGAAATAAGATATTGCTCTTTCATTGCGCTGTGGTTCCAGTGGGAAAAGTAAACAATGTAAAGTGGTTGATGATGCTTGTTTCTGTCATCTTGTACAGATATTTTAAACACAACTTGATATATATCAAAGAAAAGAGCAAAAGATTAATGAATTGAATTCAAGCTTATGGTAGCAATGTGTTTACAGAGAACTGTTTGGAGGAATCAGCTACATTACTTTGTGTCTTTAAGTTTCAACCCCTTGAAGTCCTAATAAAATACAGGGGATAGATATGGAAATTTACTGTGAAGATTGAAGCTAATCATTATGACTAACAAGCGTGCGGCAAACAAATCAACTTAGATCACAGTTTTCAAAGGGGTGGTGAGTGGTGTGCGTTCTACATGTCATTTATTGACAACAGTTTTTGGTTTGCCACAGTTTTTTGCTCAGGTGAGACTGTGACAGAATACATTTTCAGTCCCTGTTGGTATTTCTCTGAGGCAGTTGCTAAGATACTAATGTTCTCCATAAATTGATTCACTATTTGAAGTTACAGGTTCACGAGCAAAACTCTTATTACTTTTCTCTGTGAGAATTTTCACCTGGGCATCAGCTAACAAGAACTGTCAAAAGTACTTGTATGAAGAATCAGCCATGTGCAAGAGTATAATTACCATTGGGAAGCTCATAGCTCAAATCAAAGGTGATTGGTCAACATTTTCAGAAACTAGCTCACTTTGAAATGTTTGAAACTAATTGCTACCTCGTGTGTCGGTCATTAAACACCTTTCAACTGGCCCACAAGTAATCATCTTCATGCTGCCTCCCATCTGTGATGTCAGCTTCAGTTATGAGAACTATTTATTGGATTTGATTAATGTTCTTGTGACGTCAAGCTGAACTTTTATATTTGTGAGAGGCCTGTGTTGGGTAGATTGATGCTAATAAAGGGGGCTTGATTTTCCCAGACTTTCTGCACGGGCACTCATCTTTTCTGCATCTTGAGATTTTTCTGAGAGGGTTACCAAAGGGGAACTCAGGAGTTCAAAACACAAGTGTGGTCTTCAAGTTGCCATACTGAGGGCAACGTGGCAGCAAAGCTTCGAGTCTAGAAATCCATCTGGATTTCTATAGGTGCAAATTACAGCTGTTAACCGAATGTGGTTTGTTCAGAGCAATCATGGAAATGCATTTTATGTCTAAAATACCGGCTTATTTCATAAAAAAAGGACTTGTTGAAATAATTGTGACTTTTCGTGTTCGATTATGAGTTAGTATGTATTTAGAGAAAAGAATCCTTGTTGAGGAGACAATGTTTATGCAGAAAAACAGTGCCATACAGTGCTAAAACCTAACAGGTTTCCATGACAACTAGAACAGCAACAGGTTTACTGATAAGAATTGTTGGAAAAGGAGCAGAAACTAACCACTGGCAAAGTTCACTGTAATGTTATATTTAACAGTTTCGTGTGGGTCGTTACATTGTTCTGATTGTGAGGCATGCGACTCTCTTCAAAGGTTTTTACATAACCTTTATTTTGCAGCTTTTCACTACACGGCAAATGAACATTGAAGTGATTGAAGTCTTTTGCATTAACCCTAAGATAATTTTTGCTAAGAATTGGTGCAAAGGGAATTAAAAACTAATTCAACTTTCTTCATTGATTTACCTTTGCCACATCAACTAAATGTAGGTTTAAATCATAACTCCTCAATTTATTTAAAAGAAAGTTTGTTTATGACCTAAAATAAAGCTCATTTGCTGTTTAATATATGTTTTGTGTATAAGTAGTTGAAAACAAAATTCAGTCTTACAAAACAAAATGGAAAAAAAAAGTCAACAATTAGAAATAAAGTAAGCTGAATCTATTAACTTTGTTCACAGAAGTTTATCTTTATAATTCTTATTTCATACTGATGGGCATATAAATAAATTCCAAGAGAAATGTAGTGTCATTAGTGTATTTGCTCACATTTAACGTGCTGAAAATTCAGTATTTGGAAGCCAGAAGAGTTGAGCTTCACACATAAACGCCAACAGAGTTCAAGTCCCAACAGCTAATGTTTGGACTCAAACTACAATAAAATGTTCTCAGAGGTTTTCACTCTTTTAGTTCTTAGTATTTTTTTTAAAAAGGTACTCGTTGAAGGTTATTCTAAACTTTGTCAAACGGTGCAGTTTTAAAAAGTTTACTCTAGTAGCTTTTCATATTTATAAATTTGAAGTTCCAGAATGTGGATCCACACTCAGTGTAAAGAAATTCCTCTGCAGGAATCCACCAAAAATCAAGCAGATGAGCTGTAGATGGATAAGCATCGCCATCTTTTACCATTTATCTGCAGTCCGGTCACATATGCAAGGGAAACCAAGACTTCCCTCTCCCCAGTGACATTCTCCAACTCCACCTGTGGGACACAAGGTGTTCCTAGAAATTAGTGAGGCCTTTTTGCCATCAGAAACCCTACCAGGAGCTAATACCTCCAACAACACAGCCCTCATAATCATGTGTATAGTCAAACCCCTCCACAACTTTAAGGTGGCAATTTTGCTAAGAGGTGTAGGTAAGCATGTGCACAAATATAGCAGAAATGGACAAAAATATGAGCGTGAATGCTTCTAAAGGTTAGAAAAAGTGAAAGATCGAGTCGGACAGTGGTCGAAAGAAAAAACGTTGGGGAGTGCCATAAAAACAAAGCTCTGCATTCAAACCTGCACACACACTAAGAGAAACTTGTTGTAGACTTGTAAGTTTATCTTCCATGGATGTTGACCACTTGTTAAACAGTTAGACTGTTTTTGTAGGTAAACAAGTGTAAGTGGTTGTTGGCATCTGGACGCACATTTTGCAATAACTTTTTAATTTAAGGACACATTTATCTCTATGACAAATAAATTACAGGATTTAGGCAATTTAATTTAAATATATATTTTTAAATCAATCTTCAGGACTTTGCGATGTCATCTATCCATCTTTACCCGTTTCTTCCTTTTTGGGTCACGGGGGTCACTGGTGCCCATATCCAGCCAACACTGTGCGAGAGGCAGGGGACACCCTGGACAGGTCTCCAGTCCATCACAGGGACCAGGGCTGGCCCAAGCCTCCATGGGGCCCCAAGCAAAATTTGGTTTGGGGCTCTCTATTTCTGCTAATAATGTGGATTACTGCAACCAACAGATGCTCAGATTATTCACCCACCTAACATAAACTCATTGCAACTCTGGCAGCCCTGTCTACATTATATATATAT